GTTTAAAGATTAACTCATATCTCTTGATAGGATCGTCAGAAAGGACTAAAAATTTGGTTTTAACCATAACTTTTTACGCTCTATCGAATGGGCAGGCTCATTTCAAAATCAAAATTTTGCCGTATGCAGGCTAGGTCGTTGCTCTCATGGAACGTCTCTTAACTTAAATCTTTTGTAGTATTATCAATTAAGTACTGAAATAAATAAATAAAATAAAATATCGTAGTTTCTAATATGTAAATAAACAAACGTTTTTTAAATTCGAATATATTTATTTGAACTTCTGAAATTAAAGACAATCAGGATCTTATTTAAAACAGGACGAGAAAAAATTAAATAGAACTGTATTTGATAGTACTATCATATCGCTCTAGACTTGTTGCATCGATTTTCGATATTAAATAAAGAGTCAAAATACAATTTAATTTAATCTTCTTGTTTATTGAAAAATAATAATATTAATTATATATAAAAATAAGCTATATTCGAAACAACGAGATTTACCACCATAAACATTAATCACAATTGACAGGTGTAACATAATCATCATGAATTAATTCTTTACTATGAATAAATACAGTCAATTTGTGAAGATCCCATGCAAGTATTCCTGCAAAACATAAAAATAAAAAACCATGTACATTATGATACTTGTTTACAATTAAATATTCGACTGCACGTTCAAGTTCTGTAGTGTTTACTTCAACTGTTAAATGTTCCAATTGACGAAATAATTTGATGAACAACTGAATTTTTTTCAATGTATATTTATAAGGTATATCCAATGTTATAATTAATCTATATTTATAAGACATATCCACCGTTCTAATTTTATTTCTATCTGATAAACAACGAAGACGCTTAGTTTGTTGAACTGAATTTAAATCAACATCATTCAAAGATAATGGATCACTTTTGAACGTAACTAAATTACAAGTAACATATAAAATATTAATTAATTGTTCAAAAGGCACATCATAATCTTTGACCACTAATTTACTAACTAGGGAACCTTCCAAGGTGCGGGAGCGCTTTTAAATCGGGGTTTCGTGCATCTTGTAGTCCGTAGTGAGTTATGCCTACGGTAAAAAAAGTTCGGGTTTCTGGCTTGTTTCTGAGGAGATATCGAGCTCTTAGTGAATTTTCTTTATTGTACGCCTACAGTGACAGCAAAGCTATACTTTCAAATGTTGACCTGAAATTTTGCCTGCATAAAGGCCTCAGCTAGACTAGTTTGCATAAAAAATTTCAGAAGTTTTGAATAAAGTCTCTCTAAGATATGAAGCTTTGAAAAAAATGCATA